AAACGAAAAGAAAGGCTTTCTTAAAAAGTAAGACGTTTCATATAAAAGCAGCAAACTTAGAAGTCAAAGAACCGGCATCAAAGATTGAACTGGAATTGTTAACTGAACAGAAAGTGTTTTTCAATATGCATAAAAATGCGCCTGGCTACGCAGCTGGTGACTGATATTGCTTCCAGTGTTGTTCAGCTGCACGAGAAAAGGAAGAAAGCTGATCAACTAACAATAATAGTATTTTATCCTTATAAAGCAACACCACGAGAAATACATTATTTCCTTCAGACACTATGTGGGTCTCCACATCTCGCACAGACATTTAACAAAGTTCAGCCATTTTCGAAAAGTTTGTAAAGACAAGATTATTTTTTGAAAGCAGGAGTCAAAAATGAGCAGTGCCTCTAACCATGGACCTCTCGAATACGCGTCGAGTATGCTACCAATTACACCACGAAGGCATGCTAAGAAGGCGGGAGAAATACCTTATATACTACCCTTTTAAAGGGTGACTGGAGATTAGGGGACCCAATCGCCAAATCCTGGTAACGGAGAATCATCATCTACCACCTTTTTTAATTCGGGCGCCACTGGAGAGACATTAGGATTATTTTTTGAAAGCAGAAATCATGAAAAACGAACAGTGCCCTCACCGGGACTTGAACCACGGAGCTCTCGAATACGCGTCGAGTATGCTTCCAATTACACCACAAAGGCATGCTAAGAAGGCGGGAGAAATACCTTATAAGTTTAAAAGTTATTGCAAAATTCGTCCTTTCAAATCCAAATTATAGCCGAAGTACACCCTAAAAATGTTTTAATCCCATACCTTTAAGCATCAAATTTTACAGCAGTAATTCTATTTTGGGATTTTATATTTGAATATGTATAAAAATTATAAGGAAAATACTGCGCGCGAAATTTTAATGTTTACTTTTCAACGAATTGAACTACTTTCTTGTTATTTCTCGGTATATAATTATAAATTATGCAAATCAAGAGAATGAATAAAATAATATCCCAACAAAGCGACATTTGAATAATTTCATTTTCAGTCTACTCATGTAAATTCTCGGTTTATATAAGCCCACTATCAGCCGAGATTAAAGTTAGTGAATCCTGCAATTCCGACATGGGCTCGATTCCAGACGCACTGACTGGCTGCATGTGTGCTTTCGTGGTTTTCCACATGTTTAACATGGATACAAGCCAGTTTCCTTAAAATGTCCTCTACGAAGGCATCCCTAACCCTAAGCAGATAGCCGTCGATCGCTTTGTCATAATCAATTAAACCGAAACCAAGGTGTATCTGTATCTATACATAGAGAGTTTGTTTTGTCTAAAGGTTTTGTAAAGTTAATTCTAAGAGTAAGATTTAAAGTAAGAGAATTTAGTAAATAAATACATGTTAGAGATTTCAACACTAGAAGCTGCTTGAATTCCGTATTATACACTGATTCAGTTTAATTTCATTTGGCATAAAAAAAAGTTGAATTTTTGATTACTTTCTTTTATATAACACTTATAGCAGTGGTCTTAAATCAAAAATTTGAAATAATTTCGATACTTTCTATTTTAAAGGGAGAAAATCGCGCTACATGTAGTCTGTAGCCTGCTGTATAAGAAGATAAAGTAAACTAAAGTTTGTATATTTTATGTTAATTAACTCATTTTCTTATGATCTGGAACTATACTCTCACTTCTTCTTTCCGTTAACTCTTACCAGGATGTAAACGAGATACGAGTATTTAAGACAAATTTTTACAGCGGTGATACGATTCTATTGCCCAACTCTGAAACTTAGCTGTCCTGCATTACAAATTTGCTAAGAAGTTAATAACGTATTTGATTAATTTCAGCCAACGCTTGTCATGCTGTTTGCATCATAGCTGCCAGCATCAAACGAATTTAAATTCTACGCTCATCTTTCTGTTACTGATATCCTGTGGAGATTTAAACTGCAATCAAATTCTTCCATTTGCTCAATTTCAAATTTTCCATTTGCTCGATGCAAAGTGCAAGCCGAATTCTATTGTAAATAGTTATTCAATGTACTTTATTTTATCGTGAAAAGTATTCTCAAATACAGGTTTGGTTTAAAAAAAAAAGAAAAAGACTCGCCTAGTTACAAGAATTTAGTTATATTGTATGAATGGAATGTGATTGCAAACTTGCAAATTGAGAAACTTAAAAGTAAATTTAGTTCTGTTCATGAATAAGTTAGGCTCTCCGACGAACACTTCAAGTTAAATCACTCTCTCTCTTTAGCACATTAGGTGCAGTTTTGTAAATAGGGAGTCCTTGAGGTCTCGTGTGCCAAATTCTAATAATACGTAGATTGTGGTTAATTGGTAAGTGTCTGTAAACACACGTACAAAGAAGACTGTTTACACTTCTACCGTCTAATTCCTCTGGAGCGTGGTGGGGGGGGAGAGATTTAATTGTGGAATAAATGTGTGGCATGAAAGTACAAAGAAAAATTAATGAAAAGTTTTTAGAAGTTTATATCATGTTTGTAGAACTTTTGCTAAAGTCTCCTTCCTTCCAGATTTTCTGGAAGGATGGGAGCAGCTGAAATTGTGTACATTCCAAGAAGAGAATCAAGATCTTGTAACACAAATTTTGAATTTTACATTTAATTAATCAAAAATATAATCTTATTGCAAGAGGTGGGCTCTCGTAAGGTTAGGTAATTTAGATGGTTAGAATTTAAGCTCTTATTGAGGTCGCTAAGGATTTCATTTTCGTGTACTTAAATTCTGGCAGGGAAAGATGTGAGGTTTATCTACTTATTTTTAACTAATAGTTAATTTTAAGTTGAAAGACTTTCCTATTACTCTCTTTCCACCTATGCTTTTCACGCCAGAAGGTAAATAAGTTGGCGAAAGTTTATTCAGATTAAGGTAGAATAAAGTGCTATTTAAGCAAGAGTTTCGGAAGTTTGTTTTAGAGCCGTGTCTGCCTATTCCAGGCCAAGTTGTGCTGTGATTATTAGCAACTTGCGTTAGTGGTGTTGATGTGTTTTCGCCTTTAGACTTGTCTCGCCGGTTACTGCCCACCAGAGCTCTTCCTGCGCGTTAAAGTATTCTATTAACCGTTAGGCTAACCTACCACACCTTGAAATTATTATTTGTTACGTATTTCTGTTAAGTCAGAAGTGGGTCAACAAATGACCCAAGTTGGGTCATTTGTTAATTTTATGCTTGAATAAAAGGGTCTTATACACCCTTTTGTTTAGTTTCACAAGATAGATAATTCTTCAAGAGTCCTTTTAAAAGTTTAAGTTCGCAAAGAGACTTTATCTAATTTCAGAGAAACCCTACAAGATTACTAGTAAGTAAAATTTAAGATATAATTTTACAGTTCAAATTTGAAAAAAATTTCTTTTTGAAAGTTATTACTATAAAATTATTCTCTAAATTAAGTACTGAATTATTATTATTGTTGTTGTTGTTGTTATATAAATTTAGTTATTCAGTAATGTTAAGTATTGAGGTTAGAGGCTAAAAAAGCAAAGGTCTGTTAGAAATTAATTTTAAAAACCAAACTTTATTTTGTTCTATATTAATCTACTTCTGTATTACTAAACTACTTCTATATTAAATTAAAGAAAAATACCTCAAATGAATGTCCCATGTTGAAAATGAATATGAAAAATGAAAAAGAAAACAGAACTAGTAAACATACGCACACAAAAATAAAGTATCACAAGATCTAATAAGTGGACTAATAATTAAGTAACGATAAGAAAGTAACACAACTAAAATGCGTATGCTTCTTGCGAGTTCCAGTAATGAAAATAAAACGCAGTAGTAAGCATAAAAACATCTTAAATTATGGGGTACTTGAGTATGGGGGTACGATCGGCGATAATACCAGTCATAACTGCTTTTTCTCAAGCTTGCGAAAGCTATAGTAATTTTTCTGAATTCTTTTAGAAAGATGAGATAATTTATTATTTACTCATATTTCTCTTTCTTGGGGGGGGAGGGAAGGACGGAGATGCTTCTTCTTCATTTCAATGTCAACTTCAACCAATTAGTGCAAGTGCGTATCTCGATTTCATCATGCCGTTTCGTAGCTATTTTCCACGGAAAGTTGTTGGGTAAATTATTTGTTTGTCTCGTGTTAATTTTCATTGTATTTTGCATCATGCATTTACTAGATTGTTGAGAAATAAAGCAGAAGAAAAGGAGAAGAATATTAGATTATTGATATATATATTATATATATATATATATATACTAAATTGTTGAGAAGTGCTAGATTGTTGAGAAATATTAGATTGCTGTAATCAGAGCTTAAATTGCACCGGAGTCATCGGAGTTCGGCTCCGGTACTTCTTAGTTTTCGGGATAAATCATAATTATAGCCGGAGCTCAACGGAGTCCTAAATAAGAAAGTTCCGGCGCTTCTTTTATGTAACTAAACAACAATTTCAATAGAAATTTGATCTTGAAAATTTTCTGTGAGAAAGCATGCGTAACATTTTGTGAATTTGTCACTGCGCATAACACTGTTTTCACTATTTGTTTAGAGTTTCATTTAATTAATTTCTTAAACGTAAATAAAAGGAAAAAATTTCAAAAACCTTAAAAGGGCAAATGAAATTAAAAAGTAATATAATAAATCTTGTTTATTTGGAAAAACATCCATCTGTCATCACTTTTTAGCAAGACAATTATATATCTTTGTTTCTCATCAAAGAATCAAACTTTGCAGCTATTCTGCTTTTACATAATAAAGTATTCTTGCATATAAATCTGTAATTAATCTATGACATAATCTGTTTTCGCATGTAAATTTAAAGTACTGATGGAATAGTATTTTAAATTTATAAAATAATATAACTATTAAAACATTATAATTATATTGTTGTTTACCAATCTTCCACTTAAATCTTCGTTTTACAATTTAAAGTATAAATCAATTATGCGAAATTTGTTCTTTAAATTATAAATTACAATTTCGAAATGATTTTGCAAAAATCGTTTTGTTAAATTACTTACCACAAGAAAATGAATTAAACTGATGACTGCGACTGGATTAATAAAAACGACCGGAAACCAGACCAACAAATCGAAATCTTTTGTAATATTATAGGTTTAGCTGAGTCGTATATCGCTTCTCTTCCAAAGTTCAAAATAAAGACTCCAGGCGTTATTTGATGATAATGTAAAGCGTACTACTGACTGAACTATTGTGACGGCGGTGTCATTTAGTCGTTCGATGTGTACAAAGGTTTATCTTCTAATCAATGGAATACAGTCAATAGTAAATTTGTAATCGAATTTTCGGTAGATAAGACAGAACGAATGAATCGGTACGGGCAGATAACAAGTCATCAGATGCATACGGAGGAAAGCTCAATAAAAAAGAAAAAGCTTGAACTAGACACCAGTTGTATATCATGAAACCTCAATACTCAAAGAGGATACAGTCAGCCCTTAGTTTTTCCTTGCGCAGTTCTTGCCGATAAAATGTAACGCTAATTTTGAAGCAAGAAAATCGAAAACGTTAAAATGTTATTTATCTTAAAAGTATTTATAAAATTTTGTAATCACCAGTTTTGATTAAAAATTATAAACACAATAATTTCTACAGTTATGTATGATTTGTTCAAGTTAATTAGCTGTAACAGGATGTTTAAATCCTTGAAAGTCGACTGTGAAATGTAAATGAGACTTTATTTACGAGTTTATTATGCAACTTAATTCCCAGTGACTTAATCCATCAAAAGGTGTCTACCTGTGGTCGAGTAGTTAATACCGCTGAACACTAATAATTCGAAACTAGTCTTAATCTCAGTGAATGGGCTGACTCTGAAAATGTTTTAGTTCCATTTCAGGGAAATACAGGAAACAATTTTAAACAAGCTCACACGTAATAGATTTTCCCATTATAGACAGACGAGTATACGAAATCCTCCATAAATGATGTAATAATAAACTCTTTAAACGTATCGAGAGCCCTATCGAGCTGGAAATAGTAGTATATTTTTCGGCTATTTTTCAAAGGAAAGCAGTACTTCTCGAAATCTCTGATTCGAATCCATTCAGCAGCCCATTTGTTAGAGGTGAAAATTCTATTTCACTAGGTGTAATGTCTTCACTAGTCATCGTCTTTAGAGAAGAATACAGTAAGAGATCCAGAAGATCATATATATGCGTAAACAGCTCATTCTCAAGATTGTGGTGTCTTATCGAGTCGACTGGAAAACCTTTCAGAGCTCAGAGAGAAATCTCACTGAGAAATAATAATAAAAATAAAAAAAACCTCTTGCTTTTTGTTCCTTTTGAATGATGTCTTTTAGGGGACATTATTCATAAAGGAACTATTTATCTTTAGAATTTTAGATAGTCCAAGAATTCTTAAAATCTTTGAATATTCTAAGAATAGGTATTCTTGGAATTAAAGATTCTAAAGATAAAGAGTTTCTTCACTACACTATCCACTATTCCAAAAAATCCTAAAAATTTTCAATTGGAATTATTAGATGCAGCGGGAAAGTCCATGTGTAGAAGTTTTGTGAGTGTTATCAGGCCACTCACTTATACATGCAGCCATGTGTATTCTTTTGTTGTAATCCTTAAACACGGGAGTATCACCAGCATATTCTTCACTAAGATAATGATTAAAGTCCAACAAGTGATCTTTAAGAATATACATGCTCATGCACTTAAACACGCACTTTGACAAGGGGATCCTCATTATACTACGAAAAACATCTCCACAACATCCACTGTTGGACTGAAATATACCTTGCATGTATTAAAGGGAAAATGCTTAATTGGGCAGTCGATTTACTCAGTGTCATACATCGTTCGTAAACAGACAAAATCATGATTTATTGGAGCACTTTACACGCTTCCAGTTATCTTCTGTTCATGTTCGGTGATTTCTGGCCCAGTGGACACATCATCTTTGTTGAAGGTATTCGTGGTTCATTTTTGTTTACTGTTACAGCTTCGCTAAATCGAGACGAGCAGATGAATAAAACAGAATTAAAGTTCTTACTTTAATAAAGTGTAATCCAAGCTGCGCGGAGGTAAGGAACACCGATCATATATATTAGCAAACACAAAATAACATATTTATTAGGTATATAGAAGGAAAAAAAATATCTAGAGATGATTACAAGCGTTGTTTTTACTGTCCATTGCATAACGCGAGAAGTGAGTCATACAAGGAGAGAATGTTTCCTCCTTGTTTTTTTTTGGATCAAGTCCAATTCACTTGTTAGCGGGGGTTGAGGGGGAAATTAACGTCTGAGTGTACAGCCTCATCGCTGTCCGTTATCAATTGCTCCTACAATCTCCCACTCGATGAGCTGTTCCTGTCCGAAGTAAGGCCCGATTCCTTTTAATAAAAACTCCAGCTGTTGTCTGGGACAAGGTTTCGTGAACATGTCTGCATACATCATTTTTACTGTTGCAGTGTATGTAAGTTTAACAATCCCTTGATTTTGCAGATCACATACGTAATGATATTTCACATCGATGTGTTTGGTGTACTGCTTCCTTTCTTTTTTTTTTTCTTTTCTGGAAAGATTTATGCATGATATATTGTCCTCGAATACGATGTTAGCTTCCTGTTGAGCGAAGCCTAAATCTATCTCTCCCATCAGTTTTGTCTAATCCATTGTAGCTCCTGCAATGTTAAAGTGCTAGAGAGCGAATGTATTCGGCTGCTTCTGTCGAAAGATAGGGCGACACAATTTTGTTTCTTGCTTCCCCATGATACCGTACTGTTTCCTATTTGAAAATATATATCCGGATGTGGATTTTCTGTCAGAGGTATCTCCTGCCCAATCAGCGTCACTGTAAGCTTTGATGACTGGTGCAAACCATTGAGATTTTAGATGTAATTTGTAATTAATTGTAGCTCTCAGAATATATCGTATGATTTTAATGATACCGTTCCAGTCCGATGTTGATGGATTTTCTACTTTTCTGCTAAGTATTCCAACAGAATTCGCTATGTCAGGTCTTGATACTGTTGCTAAATATAAAAGTGCTCCCACTGCTTCCCTATATTTCCGATTATTCGGGAAAAATGTCATCCTGGTTGTTTTGGTTCTTCTTCGTAAAATTCGTAGTCATGGGTGTATAGCTTAGCTCTTTCTTTGGTGACTCTCCGTCGAATTTTTCGATCATACTATTAATCTTGTTAGCTTGATGAAGTTTAAAGCTTCCGTCTTTTTCTCTTTCGATTTCAATTCCTAGATATGTAGACACTTCTCCAAGATTTCGAATGTCGAAATATTCTTTGAGAATTTGTTCAACTTCTTGAATTGATTCACACTTTTCGCTCGCGACTAATATGTCATCAACGTAAACGATTATGTAAGTTCTTGCGTTTTTCTCGATTAGTGTGAAGGAACATGGATCAGCCTTTCCTTGAACGTATGCTTGTTTGCGCAGGATTTCAGCTATCTTGTGATTCCAGTTTCTGGCTGCCTGTTTTAGTCCGTAGATACTTTTTATTCAGTTTACAGACTTTATTTGCTTCTGAAGCAGAGATGTAGCCTTCCGTTTTTGCTTCATATATATATCTTCTTTCAGATCTCCATATAGAAACGCTTTTTTACATCGAAGTGATTTATGTGCATTTTCCTTTGAGCTGCTATTGCCAAAATAGTCCTTATTGTTGTATATTTTACGACTGGTGCGAATGTTTCGTCGTAGTCGTGCCCAAATTTTTGGTAATATCCTTTAGCTACTAAACGAGCTTTATATCTGATAATATTTCCCGAAGCGTCGGATTTTGTTTTAAATGTCCATTTGTTTCCAATTGCTTTCTTTCCTTTTGGAAGATCGACTAGTTCCCATGTTTTGTTCCTCTTCAGTGCTTCCATTTCTTCTTTCGTAGCTTTTAACCACAGTTCCTTTTCTTTGGTAGGAAAAGTTTTGAAGTTCTTCCCAGTCTTTAGGAACTTTGATTTCTTCTTCATTCTTAGCCATGTATGAGAATCTGTTTGGTGGGATTTCCTTAGTCGTTCTCTGGGATCTTCTCGGTAATAGGGGAATTTCTTCTGTTTCAATTCCTTCCTCTGTTATAGCATTTGGACATGGTTTCTGTGATTTATTTTCTTTAAAAGGCCATTCTATTTCCTCATGCTGATCATTTAATTGACGAAGGCATTTCTTCCTTTTTTGTTTTCATCGAATATTACGCTTCTTCTGATCACGACGTTGTTTGCATGTGGCATGTTGTTGTAAATTCTATATCCTTTAGTACGGTCACTATATCCAACAAGAATTCCTTTTTCTGCTCTTTCATCTAGTTTGCTTCTTTTCTGCTTTGGAACTCGACAATAAGCTGTGCTGCCGAAAACTCTGATATGGCTTAATTTCGGCTTCTTATTATTCCATAGTTCATACGGTGTTTTTTCAACTGATCTTGATGGTAGCCTGTTTTGTACTAGATAGGTGGCTGTCATTACGGCTTCTCCCCAAAATTCTCTTTTGAGTCCTGAATCGAGTAGCAGGCATCTTGTCATTTCCATTAAGTATCGATTTTTTTCTTTCTGCTCTATCGTTCTGTTGCGGTGAATATGCTACGGAGGTTTGATGTTCGATTCCCTCTTCCTTTAGATAGTCTTCAATCTCTTTGCTTGTATATTCTCCTCCATTGTCTGTTCTTAAGACTTTTGGCTTCTTTTCAAATTTGTTCTTCATCATGGTTACAAATTGTTTTAACTTGGAAGATAGCTTCATCTCTTTGTAGCTAGCAGATAGATTCGTTGTGTATCTCGAATGATCGTCCGATGAATGTTATGAAGTATTTCTTTCCTCCTAGTGACGTTGTACCGATTGGTCTACAAATATCTGAAGTGTTTATCAAGTCTAGAACTGACTTTCGCTTCTATAGTTGTTTAGCTTGGGATACGGCAATTCAGTCATTCATTTTTCCTCTGATACAGCATTTCGCATTCTTTTTCCTTTTTGGCTTCTCCGTCAATTCTTATTCCGGTTGCCAGGTCATCATTCATCATTCTTTAAGCCTCTTGATTGCTTCATAATTTCTATGTCCTAGCCTTCTATGCCAAAGATCTATACTATTTTCTCTTCTTTCTGCAGCTGCAATTTTGGCTTTTCTTCTTTGCGATTCAACTATGGTGTATAAATTTCCTTCTGCTTTAGCAATCCCTATGGTTTTATTTTTCTTCTTTATTCTGCAAATATCTTCTTCAAATTCAACTG